CTCTTATCTACAGACTTATCCCCATGCTATGCTACAGAGCTGTCAGTTATCAGCAGCATATCTGCAGAAAAGCTGAAGTTTTGGATTTTAGGCCATCACAAAATAGAATTTTACCACTGCTGAGTTGAGTGACAGGTGACTTATTTGGTTCCTTCTTGTGCTTGTGACCTCCCGTAGCATGGACAGCTGCCTCTTTGTAAAATAGGATTAGATGACTGGGAAATGCAATGTATTATTTTGGAGAGAGCATTTTTAGCATTTAGCTTGTAAGCGGAGCTAGTCATATTTCTTGCTTAACAAGTCATTCAGACTGATAGAGGTGACCCAACCACTGTGGGCTAAAAAAAAAAAAAAAAAAAGCAGAAAAAGTAAAAGTACTTAAAATTCAGGCTTTTGAAACAGCCTCTTCATAATGACAGACGAACCAGGATCCCGAACTGGAATCAGTGAACTGACTTGTTCACCATATTAGCCACATGCAACAGAAAGGCATCAAAACTACTTCCCGATAAATCGTTCATACCTTATAAATGCATTTGCATTGCTTTATGCTGATACATAAATGCATGAGCACTTCATTTAGTCTGATGTCATTCTCCAGTCTTAATTCTGGTCTCCCATGCTCCTACAGCTGCTGTGAGACAGGGCAAATGCCATCGACCAGGGAAGAATGAGTGGCACAGCATATTTCCAGAGTAAGTATAATTACCATTTGGCGTGCCAATTAGTATTAGATTAAAAAAAAAAAGACATCCTCCAAAGGAACCTATTTATTATTTAAAAGCCCCCCAGGGTATCTTCTGACATGGATTGGTGCTATAGCAAAGCAGAAGCATGAAAGCAGCTGAAAGCAGACAAACTGTTAAGCAGCATTTAATCCTTTATGCATGTTTTATACATAAACAAATTGGAATGTCTAGATCAATGTCCTCCAGGTGTTTTTCAAACCCCATTCTGCTTTCATTAAAGATTTAGGGAGGAAGTTTCCAAACATAGATATGATTTCAGGAAAAACAGGATAGGATCTTTTTTTCCCTGAGAGGTTTTCTTAAAACCACCACTGCCTCTCACTCGAGTAGCAGTACATTGTAAAGTGTTCCTTTGCCACTGCAGCCTGCACATTAAATCCTCTATACAGTCATGTCTTTTAGTGCTGAGTCCCCTTAATTAGACAAAAGATATAACTCTCCGATAAAATGTCCTAAGAGAGACCCAATTTGGCCACATCAAGTTCACATGGGAGTCATAAAATACCAGGCTCAAATCAATTCCAGTGTAAACTCAGCCTATTTTCAGTGACGTAGTGTTCTATGGCTCCTTGAACATTTATTCTTGCAGCCACAGTGAGAGTTCATTGATTTCATCAGGAGAAAGGGTTTTCAATTTACTGTAAATATGTAAGATTTCTATTTTTTTTACAAAGTGTGTAGTTCTTGTCTGAAACTTTCTTGTGGCAGATGCTCCTAAGTACAGTTTTTCCTGGAAGAACAAACAAAACAAACAAAATCTCCATGGTTTTTTGAAATGAATAATGAAGAGAGGATGCAATCTCTGCTGCCTGCTGGGGAACCTGAATATAATACTTGCCATTCAGGGTGTTGATTTTTCTGGGGAAAAAATACAACCTGCTACTCCCTCTCCCGGCCTCACAGGGGAAATAGATGGAATTGTCAAAACAGGGCATTCTTGCTATTTTTCAGAAAATGAAAAAGTCATAAAATAAGTGTTCTAGTTAGACCTGTTGACACCAGAGACTTGAACAATGCCGTTCGTACACAAAGGATACAAGGAGCAGGCTCCTTTGTGTGCACTTTGTAGACAAGATCAGCAGGGCTGCGTGCCGAGCAGCAACCCAAACCGTGAGCTGCAACCATCAGTGGGTGAAGTGAGTTAAGGTCTGTACTTCAAAACAACCGCCCGAGACCCTCCCCCAATTCAGTATGCTTGTGCAGAGACAGTTTCGTAGGCATTAGATTTCCTGGAAATAGGCAGACACTTCTTATAAATTTTATGTATATTTATTATTTTATGTATATGACCAGTGTGCTTTTGTGCCTGGGTGTGCGTGTTAGGAGGAAAGATCCCCACGCACCCAGCACTGTAATAAAAGCGTTGGCTTTACAAACTCTCATTTGGCTTGGGGAGTTTTCTTGGTTACGATTTTCAGGAATATCCTGGCTCACTCCAGCTCTCCTGTATTTTCTGAGCTGAGCTGATCCGTTATTTCCATCCTACAAATCCGTTTGCTCTAATGAACTTCCCGCCCAGCGCCACTCAGCACAGAGGTGAACTGCCCGGCGTGCCCCGAGCGGCGACACGGGGCGTAAAATAACACGGGGAAGGGAGGTGACCCCCCGCGTTGCACGTGGACCCTGCACAAACACCCCTGTCGCACGCAGCTCCTTGCACGCCCGCCCCCCTCGCACCGGGTGCCGTGCGCATGCGCACACCCTGAGGCCGGGACTACAACTCCCGGCATGCCCCGCGCGGGCATACGGTGGAGCCGCGAGCTGATTGGCTGTGGGGGGGGTGGCGGGGTGTGCAGCGGGGCCCGCTCCCTGGTGGCGGCGGCGGCGGTGGAGCGGGAGGGGGATGGGGGGTCTGCGGAGCCCGGGAGTGGGGCTGTGGGGGGGGTCCGTGCCTTGGGGGGCTGTGAGCAGCTGGGGAGGGGGGCTGGGGGGACTGCGGCCCCCCGGGGGGCCCGGGAGCGGCGGGTGGGTCCCGGGGGTGCCGGGGAGTGGGGCTGGGGAAAGGCTCGGAGCCACTCGGGGGGCCGAGGAGTGGGGCGGGGGGGACAATAAAACAATAAAAATCTCGCTTTGTCTTGCTGTGCCGCTCTGGTGTCCTTTGAGGCAGGGTAGAGGGGTCGGAGGCATCTTTGGAGCTTTTTAAGGGGCTTTCTGGAGGTGATGGGGGAGTGGGTAGCGCTGCTTTGGGGGAAATCCATCTCCCTGGGCTCTGGGGCAGGAACCCTACTGATTGCTGTTGGCTCAGGAGAAGGATGGGGGAAGAAAACGGGGTTTCAGGCCCACGGTGGCATCCTGCATCCTCCCGGCAGGAGCTGCCCAGAGCAGGGGCTGTGTTGGATGAAATGTCCTGGGCAGAGTCAGTCAGGCCGTGCCCTACAAAGCCGTCAAGCTTCCCCTTCCCTCAGTCTGCCCCTCGCTCTGGGAACGGCCCTGGGGATGGAGGGCTGGGGGACGGAGCGCCGAGGGAAACGTCCACCTTCATCTCAGCTCTGCCCAAACCGCTTGGGAAGGAGGAGAGCAACTGAAGCGGAGATGAGATGTTTAGGGCCCCCCGTCCCCCCTGGGGCTCTCCTCTCCTCGGGCCCAGGCAGCACCTTCCCCCCCTCCAAACTGGCCGCAGGCACGGCAGTGACAGAGGATTTGTGGCCTCCTCACTGGCATGAGCGAGCCTGGGCCTCAGCTTCCTCCTGCGTGGGCTGCTGCAAGGGCAGCTGGGGCCTCCCTCTGGGAGCTCCCTATCCAGGCTAAATAATATTAATCAGCTGCAGGGGCATCCCAGGGCTGGTTTTGCCCAGAGCAGCCCCCAGCAGGGTGCAGGCACAGGGTGGGTGTCACCTGGGCTGTGGCTGAGCAGAGGCTGAGGGCAGCCATGGAGCGAGGGGGCCGGGGGGACCAGGACCCCATTGCCCGTGGAGGGGCTCACAGCTGGTCCCGGGTCCCAGGCCCCTGCGTGTGTGATGTCCTTAGGAGGTGATGCCATAATGGGGCACGTTCCAACCCCCCCGGCAGACAGGGTTGCAGAGCTTCAGTGTTCCGGCCATGCCGCCACCGGTCCCTGCCGGCACGCTGCTCTCTGTCCCAGGGCTGCCGGTGTCCTCCCAGCCCGCCCAGCTCCACCCCGTCGCCTCCCAGCTGCCACAGGCCAGCGTCTGGCAGGGGGTGCCAGGGCCCACGGGGGCCCCGGGGCAGCTCCCCCCGGGGTGCAGCTCCCCCCTGGGGTGCCACTTCCCCCCATGGTGCCGCTTCCCCCCATGGTGCAGCTCTCCCCTGGGGTGCAGCTCCCCCCTGGGGTGCAGCTCCCCCCCGGGGTGCAGCTCCCCACAGTTGTACAGCTCCCCCCTGGGGTGCAGCTCCCCCCTGGGGTGCAGTTCTCCCCCGTGGCTGCTCCCTGTCCCCCTGCCTACAGCTGGGGACAGCAGCTGGTGCTGGGGACACTGGTGCCCCACCAGCCGATGGGGCTGGGGCCAGGGGCTGTGCTCCAGGGGGGGCCCCTGTACCCCACGGGCTCCTGCCTGTGGCACGTCCCTGCCCGCCCCGGCCCCCCGCCACCCTGCCACCCCACAGCTCAGCATTGGGTGCAGGGCCCCCCTTTGCCCCACACCCTCCCTACCAGCCCCCAGAAGCCGTCAGAGGCCTCCAACAAGGACGTGGTGGCCACTGAGGACAGCGTCCCTGCTGCCACCCCCCACCCTCCCGCCCTTGCTCCGCCGACCAACGGAACCACCACACAGCCCAAGGGTGAGTTTTAGGGGGTGGCAGGGCCCGCAGGTGGGTGGCCAAGCCGAGGAGAGCTTGCATCACCAGGGGCTGGGTTGTCTTTGCTTGCTTTTTCAGCAGTGGTGACCACCCCAGCAGCCCCCAGGGAAGCGCACAGACCTGCCCGAGCAGGGGCCAGCCGCCTTCGCTGAGGCCGTTCCTGAGCAGGCAGAGGACACCACCGCCTGGCTCCACACCGAGGACAGTGAGGACACTGTCCCCGATGGCCCCGACAGCCCCAGCTTGGCCGCCTTCCTCCGAGAGCTGCCCGACCTCTCGGACTATGTGGCAGAGGGCAGCTGCCCCAAGGAGCAGACAGCGGTGGCGGGGCTGGGGGACAGCGAGGACACCGGCCCCGATGACCCTGGCTTGGCTGCCTTCCTCAGTGAGCTCCCCGACCTCTCCGAGTACGTGGGGGCAGGCGGCTGCCCCAAGGAGCAACGGGTGGTGGCGGGGCTGGGGGACAGCAAGGACACCTGTCCCCGATGTCCTTGATTTCCCCTACAGCCTGGCCAGCTCCGCCTTCCTCAATGAGCTCCCGGACCTCTCCATGGACATGGTGGATGGCAACGGCCCCCCGGACCAAGCGGTGGTGGCACAGCCAGGGGACAGCACGGACAACCGCTTGAGCACCAATGTCCCCCGCTTGACTGTCGAGGTCCTTGATGAGCTTCCCCACCTCTCCGAGTATGTGGGAGGGGGCAGCTGCCCCAAGGAGCGAGCGGTGGCGGCGGGGCTGGGGGATGGTGAGGACACTGTCCCCAATGTCCCCAACCTGACCACCTCCCTCAACGAGCTCCCCCACCTCTCGGAGCACAGGGCAGAGGGCGGCTGCAAGGAGCAGGCGGCGACAGTGGAGATGGTGGCTGGCGAGAACACCTTCCCCGATGTCCCCCACGGCCTCGCCAGCACCGCCTCCGTCGGCGAAGTCCCCGACTTCTTGGAGGATGGGGTGCAGGACAACGGCCCCAAGGTCGGCCTGGCAGCGGCCATGCTGGGGGACGCCGACCCCTTCTGGGGGGTGGCGGCCTCCCCCTCGCAGGACCCCAAGGGGCAGCAGGGTGGGGTGGCAGCAGACCTCCCCACCCGGCTGCCCCCGCGCCCCTCGGAGGCTGCTGAGGAGGAGAGCTCCCTGGAGACTTCCGAGGAGACTTCAGAGGCCCGTCCTGCGGAGAGTCCCTGGAAGGATCCCCCGCAGGGTCTTCTGGAGAGTGCCCTGCTGAGCCCCCTGCGCATCCCGCTGCTGAGCCCCCCGGCCAGCCCCCCGGCTGCCCCCCAGTGTCATCCCGCCCCTCAGGGCCCCACTGGTGGGGGAGGCGCTGCGGAGGCAGCCCCGGGGGGGTTGGACCCACTTGCCGCACAGGGACAGCGCAGCGGTGGGCAGGCAGCAAGCGCAGAGCATCCCACGGCAGCAGCGTGCCCACCAAGCGAGCCAGAGCCCTGAGGGACCCCACGGGGCAGAGTGCCCCACACCCCCCCGGCCGCTTCTGACAGCTGGGCACAGAAGCTGTGGGGCACAACCCCTGGGACATGCGACCCACACCCGCCTGCTCCAGCCCCAGCCCCAGCCCTCTCCCATCTCTCTCTTTCCTTCTTCATGTCATTAAAGGGTTGAGGATTGTTTCACAGCGCCTCTGCCAGCGGGCATTCCTGCAGCGGGAGGCGGGGGGGGGGGTTAACGCAGCCCCTGCCCCACCGTAGATCTGACCCTCCACCTCGTCACCCCACTGTCTGAGGAACCCCCCGTGACTGGAGACGTTTAGTCAAAACGTTAATCGCCACACTCAGGGTAAACGAACTGGAAAGAGCTCTCAGGAGTCTCTCTGCTGCCGTGGAAGCCACAGGCAACCGCACAGCAGATGCCACTTCAGCCCCGCAACAGGAAAATTCTCCTTTCGCTCTGACAGCGGCACAAAATCATCCAGTACTCGCAGTGCTCCCCCTGCCCCAAGGAGGTGCCTGTGCACTGATTCACAGCACGAACCCCGCCCGGCTCCCAGCTCTTCCCTTCGGTGCCGCAGCAGCCCCGCCCCCGGGCCGGGGGGGGCGGGGGGGGCGCCCCGGCCGCTCCGGGGGAGGCCGGCCCGGCGCGGGGGGAGCGGCGGGGGCCGGGGCCGGGGCCGGGGCCGGGGCCGGTGAGTGCGTGTGGGCGGCTGCCCGCCGCGGCGGGAAGCGCCGGGGAAAGCGCGGGGAGGCCCGAGGGGAAGGTCTGGGAGCGCGCGAGGGACGAGGCGGCGGCGGCTGCCGGAGGGGCTTCGCCTCTGCCCGCCGCCTCCGCGCCGCTCGGCGTGGCCGGGGCAGAAGGCGGGCCGGCAGCCCGGCGGCGCGGGGGGAGACCCCCGGGGCTCCGCAGGGGAGGCGGCGGCGAGCGGGGCCGGGCCCGGAGCCTGGAGCCGCCGCCGCGGCGGGCGGGGCGCTGGGGCGCACGGAGTGTGCGGCGCGGCCTCTGCGGCTGCTCCGGAGCCGGTCCGGCCGGCTGGGCCCGGGCGCTGCCCCGGCCTCGGGAGGGATGGCCCGGGGCTGGGTGGGCAGCGCTGGCGGAACGGCCCGGCGGCGGGGTGCTGCCCCCCGGAACGGGAGGGGGGGTGCCGTGTGCATCTCCCTCCTGAAACGGGAGGGGAGGTGCTGTGTTCATCCCCCCCCAAAAAAAAAAAAAAAAAAAAAACCAAAAAAACGGGAGGGGAGCTACTGTGTTCATTCCCCGCCCAAAACAGGAGAGGAGGTGCCATGTTCATCCCCCTCCTAAAATGGGAGAGCAGCTACTGTGTTCATCCTCCCCCCAAAACGGGAGAGGAGGTGCTGTGTTTATCCCCACCCCAAATGGGAGGGGAGGTGCCGTGTTCATCCCCCCCCAAAACGGGAGAGGAGGTGCCGTGTTCACCCCCCCCCCCCCAAAAAAAAAAAAAAACGGGAGGGGAGCTACTGTGTTCATTCCCTGCCCAAAACGGGAGAGGAGGTGCCATGTTCATCCCCCTCCTAAAACGGGAGAGGAGGTGCTGTGTTCATTCCCCCCCAAGACGGGAGAGCAGCTACTGTGTTCATCCTCCCCCTGACGTGCGGAAACAGACTCCACAATCTGATAGATTGTAAAGTAGGTATGTTTATTCAGCGCTGAGGTACACAGGGGATAACTCCTCCTATTGTGTACCCAACATGGGGTACCGTTACCTTAGATTTATAGAGCGAATGATTACATATTCATAATATTTTGCAATACGCCTATACATATGCATTACCTATCCCCGCTTCGTATTATAATTAGCATTTCCATAATCTCCTCCCAGTTGAGTCTGCGCAGTGTCTTCTGGTGGTGGTCGTGGGGGTCTTTGGGGATGAAGTCAAGCTCCTCTTCCTCCTGTCCGCTCTGTGACCCCAGGTTTCGCGCAGACTCAGTCTCTTACTGGCTGTTGTCCAAACCGTAGGTCTAGTTCCAACCGGCTTGGTACTGATAAAGCCTAAAGACCCCATACCTCAGCTCATCATGTTTTACAAACTATCTACTCATTAAGCAGAACTGTTAACCGTTATCTAAACTATTTCCCTTGAACTGTTATCTCAACTATTTTCCCTTGTCATCCCCTTCTTGCTATTCCCATGTTAACCCTTACATCCCCTGTTCCTATCTAGGCCCTGTATCAATCCCCCCTTTTCTTATCATACTAAGTAAATTCTTTTACTTCAGCAATTTTCCCGAATAATATAAAGCCTCATGCATCGCAGTTATCCTTTTAAACATTCTCCAGACCCATAAATATAACATGATGGTTAGTATTAATAAAATTCCTAAACTACCTAGTAGGATCACAATGGGGTGTATCATAGTGTTAAGAATCCCTGTTGCAGAAGGCGACCAGCCGAAAAGAGTATCCCACCAGTTGTGACTTGCATCTTGTTTTGCTCTTTGCAAAACCCTGTTTATTTCTTTTGTATCATGGTGTACAGTAACTAAAGTTTTCTCTCCGTTTCTCTGAATTTCTCTCAAGATCCCTAACAGATCTTGATGTTTAATCAATTGCCTTACTAATGTAAGGTTCATTCCAATAGGTGTAGGTGATAACTCGAGATACCCTGTGATTTTAGATTTTATCAACTGGTGGGAAACCACTGGTGCCCAATATACAAAGTCACACCCAATGATTTTAACAAAGTTACAAATACAGAAATTAGAATGATTCCGAATGGGCAAAGTTACATTGTCATGATCTATCTCTACCAATACACAAGCAGTTCTTAAACATATACAGCCTTGACCAGTATATACAATCACCGTTTTTTTACTGTTATCTAGGTGAATTTCGAAGTGGCAGATACTTTGCTCAGTATCAAGGCATACGTCTTGGGCATCAATTGTATTACTTTCACAAATGAACCCCTGTTGTTCTCGGGTAATACAAGATTCCACATTTACAGTCTGCCATTTCTCATTCACCTTCCGAGCCCATGCTCTGTGTTCTGAAGGATAGAGCACTGTGTCCTTATGATTCAATCCTAATGCAATGATGGGGTGGATTACATAAACTGTGGCATTACGTATAGTGAGCACAAAGGCAGTAGCTGTGTTAGTAGTGGGGTCATAAGTAAAATTCACCATAGTCCACCACGATTGGAATTTCCTTTCAAAATTGGTGGCTTTGTCCCAAACCGCCTTTCGGATTTCAACTGGAAAAATTCCTTCATTCCCTTCCCTTATAATCAAGGCAGCGGTTGCCTGCATCCATAATTGTGCTTGTATACAACTAAAAGCTAAAGACACATTATCCTGAACCATACTAAGTGCATCTAGTATTAGTCTGTGGTCTTGGTCCTCAACCCTTTCCCAACTTGGCAATACTTTTGAGACTTGCCATTGACTAGTTCCCAATGCCAATAAAGATGACTGTAGAGGCTGCCTTAGCCTTGTCAAATCACTTGTTGCAGTGGCCAATTTGTTCATTAATACTTCTGAATCGATTCCATTCAAAACTCCCAATCCCGTTCCTAATACCCCAGTTAAATCTCTTTTCATCCTGCTCCTAAGGTGCGTTTGTTTTTGTGACCACATCGTCCAGCCCTTGAAAGATGTTGTTAAAAAAATAAGACAGGCTGGTTGAATTTCTGAGATATTAGTCTGTATCGTCAATTCAACACGCTTAAGAGACCATTCTGGGTTAAACAATAGTTGTTGTTGGCCCACATTCCTAATCATATATGGGCCAATTTCATAAATCTTGGGTTTTGGTTTTGTTTGGGGTTGAGTTGTTTGAGTTGTGTCTGGCGCTGTTGTTGTTGTGCTGGTTGTCTTCTCAGTTGTTGGTGTTGTTGTTGCGTTGTTTATTATTATATGAAATCTGAAGGATAATTCCAATAGCGGCTGGGATCCAACTGGCCACTTGACCCAGAGACATACTACGGAAATTGATTGGTTAAGAGTAGAATTATACCAACAGTCTGAATTTGTTTTTTCACAGTCACAGGATTGGGTTGCTAAAGGGGTTCTTCCAGCTTTATATGGTCTTACTGTAATTTGTTTTCCTGCCCAGTAAGTAGAGCTATTAAATGCTCTGCATCCTATTTTAATTTCTTGTCCCAAGGTTCCCTGCAATTGTGGTTCTCCTGGATAGGCATCCCATTCTTCTTTTGTGGGCACATTTGTCCCCTGCATAACTATAGTAGCCAACGTGTGGTCGCTCACATTTCTAGTCTTATTAGTATGTCCAATGTAAGCCTGGGACCATGGCCATTCACTGAACCTTCGACTATGCATTAGAGGAAAAACGATTATCAGACTTATCGTGAGAAGCGTAATCTTCCCGGCCGAACTTGGGTAACTTTCCATGGGGATTTATGGGCTTTCTTCACTCGGGTGTGATGTATCCAGGCCGAGTATTCCTTAATCTTGATGGCTGTGAACGTCGTGAGCAGCACCTGGAATGGCCCTTCCCACTGTGGCTCCAAGGTTTTTTCTGTAAGAGACTTAACATACACATAGTCCCCAGGTTGTATATCATGTACAGGTCCATCCAACCCTCTACCTCGAATACCAATTACATGTTTTCTGATCTTATTGAGTTGCTTCCCTAACGCCACCATGTAGGAGCTCATAATTTCACCTCCAATTTGTGTGGATATTCCTTTTTGTACCCCGTATGGTTGTCCATATAAAATTTCAAAGGGGCTTAGCCCTTCCCTTGCCCTTGGCCTTGTCCGTATGCGTAAAAGAGCCAAGGGCAAGGACTGAGGCCATGTCAAGTTTGCTTCTTGCCCCAATTTTACAATTTGTTGTTTGATTAAGTGGTTCATCTTTTCCACTTGACCGCTCGACTGAGGGCGGTACGGGGTATGAAGCTGCCAATCAATACCCAAATGGTGGCTAATTTGTTGTACTACTTTTGAGACAAAGTGTGGTCCTCTATCTGAGGATATGATTGCCGGAACCCCAAATCGTGGTATTATTTCTTGTATCAG